ACACGTGTCAAACGGCCCGAGACGGGAACACGTGTCGAACACGTGTCAAGCACGAAAGCCAAACCATTCGGAGCTGAAAGCTGCTATTTGTGGCGCTAGCGGTTTGCGGCTCTAGCGGAGGTGAATCCGCGCATCGAGTGAGCACAAAAGCAACTGCTTTTGAGCGCATGTAGGCTGAACGCTCAAAGCCTTTCAAAACCGATGCGCAGCTGCCCGAACCGCATATCTTCAGAGTACAATCAGAGCCTTCCGAAGCCAGCTTGAAGCCCCAAGAGGGCTCCGCGAGCGAAGTGAATTGCGCAAAGACTGCCGAATTGTTTTAAGGGCCAGCCCCCAAAAGTGCGCAAATGGCTCACCACTTGATGGTTGCTCAAAGTCCGAAACGTAAAAGAAAAAAGACACCGAATTTGCTGGCCGACCCTCCGAAAGCACGCAGAGGGTCGTGCGAGCAACATAAACACGCTAAAAAAACAGTTGTTTGAAGCTCAACCCTCGAAAGTGCGCAAGGACTTCACCATTTGGCCCAGACAGCACTCCACTAGTTCCAGTTTTACAGAAGTTATTGTTAAAGTTTCTTTGAGGAAGCCCAGTCAGAATGCAACAAAACTGATCAAAAACACTTGGCCGAAGCACACATATCAAACATTGTCAGAAAAGCATGTTTAAAACTTGTCAAAAACTCGTGTTCAAAATGCGTTAAAAAAGCAACACAGTCAAACCTCGAAGCAAACTTACTTTGCAAAACTATGTTTTTTAGAACTTGCTCATTTTCCCTTGTTCGAACTTTCAACAGAAGAGCTAGCGTCCAATGAACAGATCCCAAGTTCTGCGATCCCAAGTTCTGCCAGTCACACGGCTGTAAACCTTAAAGGTTGGAACGGCCGGTGTTCGGTGGACGTCGAAACATGTCACTGCTCCGCCAAAGGGTCCCGAATGTCTCGTGCAGTCAGGCAGTCAATCTGGCCAAGCGGTGCGAGCCTGAGTAGAAGTAATACACCCAGGCCAAGGACAATGGCACCAGCATGAAGAGAAATATTGACAATATGTCGTTCCTGAGTTGGCTGCGGTCAAAACTAGCAACCCCCTCGCAAAACAAGACAAACACATACGGGCCATGTTCGTTCTCATTTAACACCGTCCCAAAGCAAAGGCTCCTTGCTTTGAAACATAGTCTGTCGGGCTCTGCCAAACAAAGCTCGACGGTTGGTATCAGACTGCAGCCGGGCCGCGCTTGGGCAATTTGAAGGTCGACGGTGACACCATCAGCTGTATCCTTGTGCGCCCACATTCCGTTGGCCGTGCGTCATGAGTTGATTTGGGGTCCTTGTGACTGTCTGCAAATGGTGTCCGTTTCCCTCCAGGCATACCTTTTTGCGTGCAGCGGTTTCGTGGTTTGGAGCCCTCTTGGCATTGCACTCTTGACCAAGAGGCGTTGACTTTGTGGTATGTGGCATGCGCGAAGAGCGTGTTCTCCTCGACCTTGCCGCAGGAATAGGTCAGGTGTTCTTGGCATCTTGCCTAGTGCCTGGTCATTATTCGGCTCCCTCAACAAAACAACATGGGGCCTGAAGCTGTCATGACATAATTGAATGCCCGACACCCATTGTCTTTTCGCACCAACACTTGTGGTTTGTAGAGTCCTTCCTGCAAGGTGAATCAGGCAGACCCACGCGAAATGGCCGAAATTGAATATTTTCTGCGCTCAATTCGCCTTTCAAAAGGGACGGTTCAGGACATGGCTGATGTTTTCTGATCCGACGAGGCCCAGGCGGCGGTCGAGGTGTTGCCGTCCTCCGAGGAGTTTCCTGGGAGCGCCCTAGATCCAAATCAAACCTGCGCTTGACGGTCACGTGACATTTTGGGCAATGAGTGTGACTTCCTTTTGGCAGACATCAGGCATTGCTTGGATTTATGGGACCAACCATTTGTGAGAGTGTGCCCGGATCGTTCTCACCGTCATTCTCGCTATTGCAACTTGCGATTTCCAAGACGCAAGTCCAAAGTGCCTCTATTTTGCCAGCCAAGTATCTGCTGGTCTCGCCTCGGCAAACAAAAATCAGATGCACACTCTGCAAAGCATCCATACTGAATTGTAGCCCATTCTCTTGTGTCAAGTCTCGAGGAATCGTCGTCTTGTTGCTGCCAATCGTCTTTGCTATTGTTCTGGCCTCAGGTCTGAAGAACTTGGCTCACTCGAATGAAAAGAAGCCAACATGAGCCATGAAAAGAAGCCAATGCAAATCACGACATAGCCGCGAGGCTGAGAAAAAAAATGCATCTTCAAGCCGAGAGTCTATTTCAGCGCGAGAGACGTTGACGGGCTCAAAAAATGATTGGAACGTCTCGCGCGGCCTTGGCGGCTGAAACTTTCTCGCTACACCGTGATTGCAAACCGCTGCTAGTGGTGTCTCCCTTTTTGGAGGCTCTTTGTCGCTGTGCCCAAGGGAATTCAAAGGGAAACCACCCACATGCTGGTTCCGCACGTGGGAGTCGAGCCTAGAGAGTCGATGACCATCCACATGGATGCTGAACAGGCTCTTAGACTGCACCTGGGTGTTGCTAAAAATAAAAGTGTTCCTTTCTCATTTGCCCCAAGGACCTGAAAATAGAACGTAAACCCTTTTGTAAGCTTGATGAAAACTAGACAAACATTGTACCACCAAAAGGTCAAGGGGCGGCAGGCCTTTTAATTACCCCAAAGGCTTAAACCCAGAGCAGGGGACGTCAGTCAGTCACCTCCCGCGGAACACTCGGGTGCGAAAGCGACCCGCATGCCACCCAGAGTTCCTTCCTTGGAACATATGAACTTCATATCAACCAATCCTGGGGCTAAGTCCATTTGGGTCAACACCTCACTTCTGGTCAGGGAGCTCAGAAAACCTCAGAGAGGCCCCCAGCTGCACCAGCAATGTCCCTGGGCTGCCATCCTCCTCAGATAGCGGGTCAAATGACCAACCCAAACCCGAAGACATCCTTTCTTGTGTCCTTCGGCCCAGTCATCTTGAAGCTACCCTCCAACATTCAGCGCGCAGGCTGGGGCTTACACACTTATACCTTTGTCTGAGGGTGATGCATGGGCCGCGGGCATGACTTGCTACCCAATGGATGTGGGAATTCCCCCCCCCCCCTCCGCCCCTGCCGGGTTTGCCCATGTGCCAAACCAAGGATTTATTAGACTGGCAATCGCAAAAAGTCAGTTGCACCCCCCTCAAAAGAAAGCCACATTTTCTTGGAGCTCGGCAAAAATGCGAATTCTGGTGGGGCAGTTGGCCCTGCCATCAATCCAATGCTTCCCAGAAAATACCAAGCACTTTATGGATAAGCATCACCAGAAAGAGCAGAAGGGTTGGAGCCATTCCCAAACCCACACAATTGGGTTTAGGATTCCGTGTCAGACCTCTTTTGGAGCATGCATTCTATTTTGGTGGACATGTGTTTACATGGTCGAATTTAACCACTCTTGAAGAGCTCCAATCTATTTTGGAAAAAAAAGGAAAAAAAGAAGAAGAAAAAAAACGCCTCGTATTCCATAAGTCAACTTGGCGGATGGTGAAATCAATCATCCCCAAAACGTTGACCCCGGATTCGGCCTTACGACTCCGGGGTCAACATGTTGTCAAACATCACCTTCCCGGCGTGATTTCTCCAAGGTGCGACTTCCAAGCCGCAAAGGTTCAGCGGCTCGGTCTCACACAGACACGCGAGGATCAGCGAGGCAGCTTGCAAAAGGCGAACGCCTGAGGAACGGAGGCGATGAATAAAATAATAGCAGGGAACCACCCAAAAAATCGGAACCGCATGCCGCATCACGCATGCCGCGGGCATTCCGATTCTGCACCCTAGCTTGCCGCGCTTTTTTCAGCTCTGGACAGAAACTTGTGGCCCGACTCTACGTCCCATGATTCCAACGCAGCCAGGAGACTCATGTGGAAGACAACAAGGTTCAAAGACCTCGGCGCGTTCGGAATCTCGGCACTTTGCCAATTTGCTTATCCCCGCACCCAACTGGAAAAGTCGTTCCCCCCGAACAAAATGCAAAAATCACAAAATGTTCTCCTACATCCAGAAAGGGAAAATGTATGGAGGGTCTTCGTTGGGGCTCTCCCCTCGATACATTGCTTGCGGGAGATCTTTGTTTCTTTGCGCAAGCGCCCCGGCGGCACGTGAGCCAACGGGCTTGGCCCCCGAAGCCAAAAGCGCGGACGAGTGGCTGCCCATCGACGAAGTGGCTGGCCGCTCGTCGCGCTCGGGCAGCCACAATTCAGTATCAAAGACGAAAGGCTTGAGCCCTTCGGAGAGTTCCCTTAGGCCACGCTTTTGCCCTTCCATCGCACCTGACAGTCCCTTAGGCGCTTGACAACCAGGGAATCTCTCTGAGAGATTGTCACTTCGGCTTTTCGAAGACACCCAAGAATGAGAAGTACGCTGGATATGTTGCAGGGGGATAGGGGTGTGTTGTCTTTGGGGAATACCTTGTGGTTTTTGAAGGGAAAGTAAAAAGGAAACCAACCATTTCGGGGTTCCCTGAGTTTTCAAACAAACCCAAATATCTGTCTCAAACAGAGGTTTGGAATTTCAAACTGAAAAATAGACTTTGGCTTCCAATACAAACACCTATTCCACGCAAATAAGAATGCCAAACCCCTGTTTTCCCTCAAAGTGGTACAACTTCTGTTTGGGGTTCCCTCCAAAAGTGATCTCCCTACCAAGGTGAACACCCCCCAATCAAAATCAACCAGGGGTTCTGCTTGCTCTCGGGGAATCCGGGGTCAACACTTGGTGCTTGATTTGGCCATCCAGCTTCGAACTATAGGCATAACAAAGTTAAGAGTGGAACCCTCAATGGTACTCTCTTCCTCAAATTCAACCCATGTACACCTTGCCCGGATCCCGGTTGGCCATAAACTCAAGCCTTGTAAAGAGAACCATGTAACTCACCTTGGGTCCGGAGCAATCCCACGAGCACATCTTCACCGGAGCCCGCGAGCGCCCGCGAGCGCCTGGGAGCCGGGGCTTCCGCTTCAGCAGGTCCCTGGAGCGCACCAGCCTCGGCGCGAGGCGCGCGAAGCGCCGCAAAAGGCCCGGCGCCGGGGGTTTCCGCGGAAAGGCTTCGCGGAGTGGGGGGGGGGGGGGAAGGCGGGTTGGAGGTGTGCGGCTTCAGCTTCTCTACTTATTGCAAAATCACCCCATGTGGTATCATCCACACATCTATGTGTGTGGCACCTGAGATGGGACTTTTTGGTACTTGGAGCCTCCTCTGCCTCAATTGGTCTTTCAACTTCCCGGCTCCTTTGGGATGGTTGGACCCAGTTCAGATATTGTGGACGCCTTTTTGTTGGCTGATGTCAAAAGCAAAGCCACAACGAAACCGAAACCTATTTGCAAGGGTCCAGAACCCCGGCCGGCTATCTGGTGTTCTGGGGATGATGGTAAGCCTATAACTGTGTATGTTTCAAAAACTAGGGTCCCCTTGGATGGTTTTCAAGGGAGCCTGATTTTGAGAAATATCCAAATATTTCAAGTAGGGAACATGTTGGAATCTCTGCAATTGACCGCAAATTCCCTTCTGTGGTTGGATGTTGTGGGGGGTATGCGCTTTCTGTTCACGGAATCAACTTCCCCAAACTCCGTACGGTTGCGTAAAAGCGACTGCAAAAGTGACCGACAGAATTTCCTGACCGTGGAACACTTAAGAGTTTCGCAGAATTTCACCGCGCCTGAGTCTACGAAACAACCTGTGGCGAGAAGAAAGGGGGGGGGGCTTGTAGAGTTCAAAAGAACCCCAGATTCGTTCGTTACATGAAGATAGCAGCAAGCAAGACAATGAATCCTGCAAGTTTCTTTGGCACAGCTTCTAGCATCGCATATTGGCATAAGAAGTAGCATTCAGGTACTGTATGTAAACGAGTTAGTAACCCACATGCATCTAATCCATTCTCTGGATGTGAGAAAGAGGACAACCCGGAGGGCAACTTGAAGATATAGATATAGTTCTGACATTTGACCATAAAAACATCAACAAAGAATTAAAAGGGAAAATGTTATTAGTGGAATTTCTGTTAGGTTTGCTAGACGATAGAAAATGCAGATTAAAAATGTGATAAAGAAGGAAACCACAGAGAATAAGTGGCAATACAAAACGAAAGACAAAGAACCTCTTCAATGCTAGATTGTAAACAGAATGTCATCCACAAAGCAATTTGATGGAATGGGAGATAATAAATGCGCAAGTACTATAACTCCACAAAACTAATGCGTCCATTCGTAAATCCTAACCCAAACATGCTGTTCCCATCGAGTAGTTGGATTGCACAAATGCGAAGCGTGAGACATAGCTTTGCCAAGAAGTAGAAATGTAAAGGTTATATTAAAAAAAAGATGCTTGACCATTGATGGACCATTGGAATGAAGAAACTACAGTAAACACCAACCACAATCCAGTAGTTGTTTCGATGTCAACATGAGAAGAATACTATTGAAGATGCAATTATAGTCTTCTGTCTTATCAAGTTGCTTCCTATGCTATGCTTCTGTTTGTCGTTCTATTTGGAGTTAATGTTATATTGTTTCATCCAGCCACCCCGTGTCATCTCCATTTTGCTATTTTGCTCTTCTCTTTTCCACACCCTGCTGGAGGTAACCCAAGAGCTTCGACAAAGGAAAAGGAAATAACCAAGACAAGCCAGGCAAGCGAGGACAATTCCTTCCTTCACTTCCCTTCCCATTCTCTATTCCAGGATATTGATTGGGTACTTGGTTAACTCTGAGAAACGATCTACTGGATAGCGTTTCTTCCAATCTCTTCTCTCTTGACACGACATTGTGACCAAAACCCAACCAAAGGAACCTCGCTTAGCTTCTCCTTTCGCCTCCTAATCACATCGTGGATGCAGAGGTGCGGGAAGGAATGGTGAGAAGAGCTGGTCATCTCTCATTCATTTGCCATCACTTGGACCAGCTCTCATCACTCCCGCACTCACCTCTTTACCTGTTTCCTCACATTCTCGTCTACGATTCTTGGACATAAAATGCGGAATAGAAAGGCGAATGACCATAACTTCCCTCCCTCCTTTCTCTCCCAATCATAAGAAACGATGGTTGAGACATCAGCTAGTAACCTTTGTTGGATGGTGGTTCGAAAACAATTTAGGAGACCGGCTGTAGAACGGAGGGCTTCCTGGAAATAAGAGGCGCTGCCGAGGGCTTCCATTCAGAAGGGAAATCCTTCCATTCAGCACGGAGCACCCCAGTCATGATATATCACAACAAGCCACAACACCCCGGTCTGACTAAGTCTCCCAAGAACAAGCACCATGACAATTCAAATTCCACTACATGCTTCAATATCCCAGCGATGAGGACCAATTCAATGTCTCAGGGATTTGGCTGGGAGGCTAGCGCGCAGCCCGCAAGTCCAAGCGGCAATGGAGCTAGCTGGGCACTCTCATCCAGCGTAACTGCAGGGGTCGTTGGGTTCGGCCAAACACGCGCTCGAACTTGCGACACGTATCACTTGGCTTGAGGCATGACCTTCCTAGTCCATCCAAATGGGTGTGTCTCAAAATAGGGAAATCCAAAAAAAAGATGGCTTCAAAAAGGACACCCCAAACACAGACCCAAGACAACTGTAACATCCATCCCCCTGTACTCCTCATGAGGTGTCAAGGAAGCCCGGGCATCACCTTGAGCAACTGAAAATCGCCGTTTGGTCTAGCGGAGGAACCAAAACTCCCAACTCCTTGAAACCTCTGCCACCTCCGCCAAAGGCAAAAAGTTCATGGCCTGCATCTGCCACAGTGCGTGGTCTGGTACGCGGAGGACCTTCGGCCATGCCTGCACGGCCACAGCTACCCTCGATCGGCATACATACTCCCCTCCAAACTAGCAGAAACATGGAATCCCCAAAGGCCATTCCTTGGCTATGCACCTAAAGAAGGCAATGAGTTGCTCTCCTGCCACCCAAGAAAGGGACCCAAGAAAGGGACCATGCTTAGGAGTCTCATCTGGGAGAGCCTTTACAGTATTCCACGCTCATGTGCAGCTCAGCATTAAAACCTCCACTAAGTTACATTGGCCAACTGAGGTGTTGGGCACCGATGGCAACGCTCGAATCTGACTACTCACCCCTGAAAGGACACCAAAGGAGAACGCAAAAGAGCACGGAATCCACAAACTAGCGAATTTGGACAACCGTCACAAAAGGTTCCTATTCAGGAAGAACTGGCACTAACCATGCTCCAAACAACCTTTCATGAGCCTAAACCGGCTGAGGCTCTTGCTTTTGGCCTTCCCTTTCCGCCGCGCCTGGCTGAAAAGAACGCACTACAAACAGAGCAGCAGCTGCGCACATGCAAAGCTCAGGTGAAGTGTGTGTGTGTGTGTGTGTGTGTGTGTGTGTGTGTGTGTGTGTGTGTGTGTGTGTGTGTGTGTGTGTGTGTGTGTGTGTGTGTGTGTGTGTGTGTGTGTGTGTGTGTGTGTGTGTGTGTGTGTGTGTGTGTGTGTGTGTGTGTGTGTGTGTGTGTGTGTGTGTGTGTGTGTGTGTGTGTGTGTGTGTGTGTGTGTGTGTGTGTGTGTGTGTGTGGGTGCGTGCGTGCGTGCGTGCGTGCGTGCGTGCGTGCGTGCGTGCGTGCGTGCGTGCGTGCGTGCGTGCGTGCGTGCGTGCGTGCGTGCGTGCGTGCGTGCGTGCGTGCGTGCGTGCGTGCGTGCGTGCGTGCGTGCGTGCGTGCGTTGCGTGCGTGCGTGCGTGCGTGCGTGCGTGCGTGCGTGCGTGCGTGCGTGCGTGCGTGCGTGCGTGCGTGCGTGCGTGCGTGCGTGCGTGCGTGCGTGCGTGCGTGCGTGCGTGCGTGCGTGCGTGCGTGCGTGCGTGCGTGCGTGCGTGCGTGCGTGCGTGCGTGCGTGCGTGCGTGCGTGCGTGCGTGCGTGCGTGCGTGCGTGCGTGCGTGCGTGCGTGCGTGCGTGCGTGCGTGCGTGCGTGCGTGCGTGCGTGCGTGCGTGCGTGCGTGCGTGCGTGCGTGCGTGCGTGCGTGCGTGCGTGCGTGCGTGCGTGCGTGCGTGCGTGCGTGCGTGCGTGCGTGCGTGCGTGCGTGCGTGCGTGCGTGCGTGCGTGCGTGCGTGCGTGCGTGCGTGCGTGCGTGCGTGCGTGCGTGCGTGCGTGCGTGCGTGCGTGCGTGTGGGTGGGTGGGTGGTGGTGGGTGGTGGTGGGGGTGTGTGTGTGTGTGTGTGTGTGTGTGTGTGTGTGTGTGTGTGTGTGTGTGTGTGTGTGTGTGTGTGTGTGTGTGTGTGTGTGTGCCCCCCTGTTCCTAAGGGGTTCTGCGGTCGTGTTTTTCCTTTTTCCTTTTCCTTTTTGGAGTCGGGTGCCACCATGCGGATTGCTGATTCAAAAGTACCTCGAGAGTGGCGATGGCACCCCTGATGAGGACGCCTCTCACGAGCGTAATTGTTTCAGGATAAGCATGCCGAAACTCCAACCTGATTCCGTGCTTGCGTCCACCTACGTTTCGGGGTGCACATTCGCAGTTTGCCGTCTCATATCAAGTGTGTTTAGGCACTGCGTCCGGGCTTCGGTCAGTGTCTTGATCCCCGTTGTGGGCATCTGTTCCGACTCATGCTCAGACATTTTCTACAGACTGTTACCGGACCTTGTCGCTCGTGACGCTTGACTGTTCCAGCTGATCTTATCAATACAGGCTTGGACCTCTCCCAGACCTTCCGGCACCCCAGACTGTTTCCGTGAACCGTTTCTGTCAGACCAACTGTTTGACAACCAATCCGACTACCCGACACATCAGGTGGAAAATCACGACGCCGTCAGCTTGGTCTTGGCTCGCAATTGTTGGCACTAGATGTCTCGCCCCCACGCAGGTCCGATGTCGAACTCGGCAGGCCCCATGGCCAAAGCATCCAGGAACACTGCCGGCCCTACGCCGCCCAGGTCTCCGGTGCACCAGTCAGCATCACCGAGCAGGAGTACGCTTGTGACACCAGCCTCGAGGATATCTTGCGAGGTGTCCAACGCCTCAAGGGCTGCCAAAGCAGCGGTCCCGGCTCTTGCTCCTGGTGACGCATCGGCATCGGTCCCTACCTTGGAGGTCTGGCCTGCATCTGTAGCTGGCCCGCTGCCGCAAATCCTGGTGAAAGCACGCCCGGCCACGCCGATGACACCAATGACTCCGATGACGCCCACTACCCCGACAGTTTCAACTACAGCATGCCCACCTATGCCCACAGCACCGACCCCTATCACACCGATCCCTACGGCAACCCCATCAGGTCTGATGCTTCCACCGCCCAACCCACCATCTAGATCACGCCACGCGACGGAGGGAGACAGGTCACGTACCCACCACGCTTCCCCCTACTGATGTCATCCACTATGTGTTGGGCAAGTGTTGGATGGTGATCCCGGAGGCAAGCCAGATCGTCGGACTCGCATGGCCCACCGATGCAAAGCCACCTACTGGTGTCCTCCGCTCGTGAACCTGCACCAGGAGCTGTTGTAGCCAATGACAATTAATGATGTTTCATTGCGAATAAGAGCATTCTTCGCCACACTGCCGTCTTCGACTACCGACGATATTTTGCGACAAAAAGTGCACGCCAGGGCCTCATCCGAGTATGCGCTGACCTTATTGCAGGGCTTCCTTTTTTAAGTTTTGAGTAACTAATGCTGTTTTCTGGTCTCTCACCGCCCCGGGCCTGGTCGGAATTCGGGTGTCGTTTTCGCAATGGTTGTTGTCTCAGAAATGTGTGGCGTACCCCTAGCGTTTAACCCATTAGCAGTGTGACCGGCAACCTCCTATCTAGTGATGGCTTCTCAGTGGAGCTATTCATGGCCGGCGGCATCGGCACCTTCCTCCTCTTCGCATCCGGGACCCTCGTATCTTCCGTCATGGTCAGTTTCGCAGTCCCAGCAGGAGGCCTATCTCAGCTCCAATCGGACGGAACCATTGCAACATCAACTTCGCGAAGAAGCACCGCCTCGCGTCAATCCCCCTCGGCCCCCACAGATGGCTCATCAGTTTCCTCCTCAACCACCTGGTCAATCGTCCTCCACCACCCGCACCGCCAGTTCAACCTCCAGTTCGGGCACCTCTCGGCCAGGGTGATGCAACGCAATACACTCAGCCTCGATATTCGCAGCTACTTCCCAGCACCTTCCAATCTGACGACATCTTCTTAGACAAGACGGAGGTCCGTGGTCTGCAGCTGTACCGTCACGTTCAGCCCCCTCAGTGGTCCAGAAGAGTCGGGCTCGCAGGAACAGCTATCCTGGATCTTCCACTCACGCGACTTCTTCGAGGAGGAGCAGAAGATCACGCATTACGAGCACTGTCCAATGGTCGCTACAGCACACCAGTCATGGCTCAGACAATAGCCGAGGCAGTCTTATTGACATCCATTCTCAAAGCATTGAGAGGCAGGGAGGTCGACATTGACAGGACAGCTCGCTCTCTCCACGCGGACAATGCGCCGGACAAGCGCAATGAGGCCATGCAGTTTATGGAGCCACTTGCAATCAAAATCGTGGATCTCATGGAGTCCTTGCAGCCCGCCAAGCAGGAGAACCTCACTCGCCACAAAATTGCCGAATTGGAGCAACAGTTGGAGCGCTACAAGAGCAAAGGCATCACTCTTACACCGGATAAGAAGCTGCCATCCTCGTCCCCTTCCAATGCCGCGTCCTGGACCCCCACGCCAGGCCGCTCCGACCAGTCTCTCTACATTAATGCGGCCAACTCGGATCAGCCAGGACCTCCCCTACCAGTTCCATCTCCAGAGGCTGATCCGGCCCCTAAGCGGCGACCAGCAAAGCGAAAGACCCCGGCGGCTCCCCCGGATGTCACTCTAGACTTGGACCTTCTACGTCAAGGGAACCCCAAAGGTCAGCAGGTGCCACTCCCCACCAGTCTCACGGACAAGGTCTTCAAGGCATGGCTACACGAACGCACGCTGTCCAACCAAGCGACCTACCTTGATCTCATCAAGCAGGAGCTGGCATCTGACACTGTGGAGCAGTTGAAAGCCATTGCAGTCAAGTGGGGGGCCACCATCTCCTTAGTGAGCAAAGGATCGAAGCGAGCACTCCTGCAGTTCATCACGGTGATGTACATGTGTGGCAAGTGAGGGGAGTGACGGTAGCGCTCATGAGGAAGGAAGTTAGCACCATTGACACGACTGGTCTGAAAAGCCCGCTGCTCCTCACGCCTGCACCTTGCCCGGAGACCATCAGCGGCCTTTTATCCTTTCCGTTTTCCTGAAGGTTCTCGGGGTCGCGGGTTGGGTTTTCCGGGTTTTTCCGGTTTTCCGTTTTTCCTGTTGACCCAATCAACCGTTCAGTGCTCGAGCGTTGGATGCATGGCTAAGCCATGCCGGTCATTCAATCTCCAGAAACGGTTTTTCTTTTGCAACTATATAGTCAGTATGCGCGGTCGGAGCTTTGCAGTGCAGCCAGACACTATGGTATTCCTGAGCCGTCTTGGCCGGTGAGCTTGCAGCATGGCACCGATTATTTCCTTCCCTACATCGTCGCGCTTATTGCAATCAGACTCGGGGACTCCCTCGATGTGCATGCAGCCCACCAGTATTATCAGGTTCTCTATCTGATCATCGTCACGAGTCGCCAAATCCTCAACATGCCGATGGTCAACAAGCAACTGTCTATGTGGTCTGAGTCAATGTCCACCCTGCTGATGGTCCATCACTACGGTCGTCCCACGCACGCGCTCACGGAGCTCAGGCGCCGACTCCGGCGTTTACGCGTCCACCCGAACATGTACACCTTCGCCCACTTCTTGCAGCCCAACGCAGTGTATTGGAAGCAGCGAGTCGAACTCCGCCCAGACCTTCCACGCTCAGTCAACCCGCAGTCGGACGTATATATTGGAAGCACCAGCATCACTTATCCCAGTCGAGAACACAATCGTAGGGCCAAGTTACTGGGTATTCAGCACGGACAGTTTATCAATGCAGAGCCGGCCCTCAGATGGTGGCATCATTTTGGTAACTATGACGAGTTTGCTACATGGGTTATCTTCACAGACTCTGACCATACCGTCACCTGGACACAGGAACACGCCTTGATCAGCATCTATCAGCCGTCCCTCAACTGGCCCTACATCTACCGGCGGTACAAGCGCATCTCCACTGGCTACACGGCTACCAGGTTCCTTGCCGAACAGCCCTGGTCCAGGTTTGGCAAACGCCTTTTCCTCCGCTTGCGCAGGAGGAGTTGTACAGTCTATGGCAGGAACTTCCATCGGGTGGCGCTCAAACACACCCAGGCCTGGTCAATCATCGCTCGCCTC